CCGCCCCCCGCCGCCTCTGCCGCCGCCATCATCATCGCCCGCCCCGCCTGACCTCTCACCCGCCGCGGCGCCGGGGGAGGCGGAGCCTGAGACGGGGCCCACGGGGCTCGATCCGGAGCGGCCCCTGCGGACGCACGTTAGGTAGGAGGCAGGCGCCGCGCAGTCCGCGCCGCGCCGCCAGGGGAGGGGGCTGGGGAGAAGGACGCGTCACGCTGCCGGGGGGAGCGGCTGCTGCTGCGGGCTTCAGCCCCCTGGCGGAGGGGCCCTTATTCCTCTCCGGGCACGTTCTCTTCGTGGCGGGTACCGGGGCTGCCCCCCGAGCCTCACTGGGGCAGCTCCCCAGACAGCTCCCCTAGAGCCGGTTCAGAGGGGCGGGATGAGGAGACCCCCCTAACGACCCGCCCGCCTCCGTTGTTGGAGGACTGGAGCTCGCAGGCCCGTTTACAGCCTCCGCCTCTGGCTGGAGGATTTTGCTGTGAGCGACCCACACGGTCTCCCTCCTTCTTTCTCTTCCTTCAGTGCGATGCCCCCGCAGCAGTGGCCCCTGGCGGGGACGGCGATCTGCTTATTGATTTGCTTTAAGAGACACCAGTTTTATTTAGGCCGAGGGGTATTGAGCAGTGTCTGATGTGACTCAGTGCATGGGTTATAATCCCACCTACTGTGCTGAACCTTGTCTAAGAAGATCCCATACAGCCCATCTTCCCCAGACCCAAAGTGTGGCTAGTGACGATGCGGATGCTTCAGTGTCCCAAAGTGTATGGAGGTTGCCAGGTGCTTTAATCCTTTTTAGGCACTTACTACTGTGTGGAATAAATTCCCTTACTGAGTCGCATTTTTCATTGGTGTTCCGATCCTTTAAGTAACCCCCAAACTCCAGTGTGTTTGGAGTTATCCATTTGGAGAGTGGGGGGAAAAGTTAAATAACTCAAATAGCTTTCAATTTAAAGTTCAGAACAGCGCCTATACTAGACCTCTGTGTATTGGAAATACAGGGGCGTGAAGGCTAAAACCACAAGGTGCCATAGCTGGTAATTAGCAACAATGGTCAATGATGGGATATTAAAAGTTACTACAGAGAACTTTTTCCAGAAGGTCTGGCTAGAGAATCTTGCCCGCATGCTCAGGGTTCAGCTGATCGCCATATTTGGGGTCGGGAAGGAATTTTCCTCCAGGGTAGATTGGCAAAGGCCCTGGAGGTTTTTCGCCTTCCTCCGCAGCATGGGGCAGGGGTTGCTTGCTGGAGGATTCTCAGCGATTTGGAGATTTAGGGACTTCAACAGCTGAGTCAAGGGAGAGAATTCTTCCAGGAGTGGGTGGGTCAGCTTTTGTGGCCCGCATCATGCGGGAGGTCAGACTAGATGATCATAATGGTCCCTTCTGACCTTAGAGTCTATGAGTCTATAACTAGATTTAAAAAAGAATGAAATAAATTCATGGAGGACAGGTCCATCAATGGCTGTTAAACAAGATGGTCAGGGATACAATCCCATGCTCTGGGTGTGTCTAGTCTCTGACTGCTGTGGGAGTGGATGACAGGGAATGAATAATTGCCCCGTTCTGCTCATTTCCTCTTAAGCACCTGGCATTGGTCACTGTTGGAAGACAGGATACTGGGTTAGATGGACCATTGATCTGACCCAGTATGACTGTTCTTATGGAGAGCATGTGTGTCAAGTCTGAAATCAAAATGGGTGAAAAATAAAATGTTATAAATGAGTGAAGGGAGTTTGTCAAGTATAGCTAATATGTAATTTTTCATAATGACTTAGGGACCTGTCCAGCTCTCACTGAAGTCAGGGAAAAGAATAAGATGTCACTGACAACTGGATTAATCACTTAGGCCCCAATCCTGCAATGAGCCCTGAGTCAGTACACCACTACAGCAGCACAGAGCTCAGTGCATGATTTGGGCCTTATTGATGTTGTCAAGTTACTTTGGGCCCCAAATAGAGACTATACATTTGTTTTAAAACAAATTAAAATAGTTCTGGGGGAATGTCACCATTGCTCTTGCAGTGTTGTGAACCCAAACACAACAGCACATGCTAGTGCAATGCAGGGATTGGCCTGGAGTATCCAGGAATGAAAGATTAAGCTTTAATTAAAGATTGTAGTGTGATGAGACCTCCAGGAATACGTCCAACCAAAATTGGCAACTGTAATGCTGAAACAGTTTTTATGGGGGGAGGAGGGGTGCCAAGAGCCATTGAACCAAACTAAACTCTGTATATAAGGGAAACTGCTTCAAGACGGGGGTGTGGCAGCACTCCCAGTTCCAGCACTTATGGGGCAATGAGAACTGCAAAGTGAAACTGACAAGTCTAGGTTCAGTGTTGGAACACAGTGAAATAAAATGCGATAGACTAATTTACTTTTCACTATATTGATAGTCTACTTACATTTATTCTTGTAGTAATCTAAATCCAAGTTTGGATGCTTTTAATACAATTCGACTTAATGCTGTTCATTTTATGGACCAAATTAATGTATGATAGTTACTTAAATATATCCTGTGAGATATGTGAGGCCAAGATTTGAAATGGAATGCATGAGGACAGTATATAAAAATGTGTGTACAATTGTGCACCTGTGTATGTTGCATAAATATCAAGATTACATGTTTCAGATAGGTATTTAGGCACTAAACTCGCAATTTGCATGCAGAATCACTGGATGTGTGTACAGACACAGTGCTTGCAGGCCCAAATGTAGGCATAACAAATCCTCAGGCTTTTTTTTTTTACTATTAAATAAAAATGTGAGATTTACAAGTGTCCAGTAGGCATTAGGCGGCGATCCTGATTATATAGAGATTTAAGCATGTGCTTAATTTTATGCATGTGAGTAGTCTTATTGCCTTCAATGGGAACGATTTGAGACCGTCTCCCTCTACAGGTGAAAGGCTAGCATAGTGTCTAGCCCATTGTGTTGGTCAGGCTCTCTTAAAATTCATTAGTAGGTTTAAAGATACCAACACCTAAATGACAAGATATACTTCTGGATTAAATTTAGCAGTGATGGAGCTTTGATTTAATAAAAATGTCTAGACAGTAAAAAGAAACAAACAATATCCTACATTCCAATCATAGCGCAAATAAACTATATATACTATATATGATGATTACTTTCTTCAACAGCGAATCATTTATCCCCAAATGCAACATTGAAGTTTTAGGGTGCCACAACTGCCTTGCAAAATCTTATGCCTCAAAAACTGATTCTATAGCTATGATATTCTGAATCTGTAACCTATACAACCTATTGATTGTGTCATATCACATCTATTTCATTTTTGTTCCACAAAGACAGTAAAGGAATTTTGATCCTTATGCAGTGGACTTTCTGTTAATAGTTGGACAATTCCTCTCTGTAGGTACAGTATGCATGCTCTTTCTTGTCTCCTATAAATAAGCAATAGCAGTGGCTGCATGCACAGGAGGTGGTGGAATGAAAGAACACCATGCATTTCTGAACTCTTATCTCTTCTCTTTTCCTTCGTGTTCTTTTATTCAGCCTCCTTAACGTCTCCCAACAATGACTAATCTTTCTCATTTCTCCATCTGTTAGCTGTTTTACCAGTCGGGACTTGCTAAAATGTGATAATTTTTATCTTAAATCCAGTATAATAGTGATTATAATGTTATAACAATATGTGACTCAGTACTGTACTCTAACTTATGACAGAGCTTTTCAGTGTCATAGGAACAAAGTCAGGATATGATGGCAACTGAGGAACTTCAAGCCATTATACAAAGATGCGTAAGTAACTTCCTTTTTTTAAAAGGATAGTAAAAGTTATAGAAACTGGCATTGCCTACATCTGCGTGTACTATATTTAAATAAAAAAGCAGGGGAGCTTTTGATAGCGCTTTTCATGACCATGCAGGTTTAGTTTCCATTGCCTGCTCCCTGGTTCTTGTCCTAGGACTGCTACTAGCATCTGACCCTTGCCTCTTGGACGATAGGCAGGAGCATGTAGAAGAAAATGTACCTCTCCAAAAGACTTGGTGTAATCTCAGGTCAGGGAAAGTGTTATTGAGAGACTGGCATGTGTTCTGTAGTAATTACTAGTATCTGTTTTACTCCTTGAGGAATTGTGCGCCACTGTGGTGCAGCAGAAAAATGCCACCCCTCCCGCAGATTCTCTTTGCCTCCTTGCAGAAAATGGTTTCTGTTGGGAAGCCAAGAGAAGCTGTACCAGTGCTCAGTCTCACAAACACACACCACACCTCACCCTCCCAGGGCAGCTCAGATGCATCTGTTCAGGCAGCTGGGGAGAGGTAAAATCACTGGGGGGTGAGTGGGGTCTGGGGATGCCCTTGCTGCCCAGGGATGTTAGTCCCAGCTGGGGGGGGGAGGTGAGAGGAGGAGGATGGAGGTGGAGTTCCCCCTCCCTCCTCCCTGCGAGAACACCCAGGGCTGGGTCAGATCAACACCCAGAAATTTCCCCTGGCTGCAGGAAGCTCTGCACTTTGGGAGAGGGGGAGTCTGGGTGGGGGTTCCGGGTGTGGGGTGGTGAGGCTCAGCGGGGGGTGGGGGAGTATTGAGTGAGAGTGTGTGTGTGGGGGGGTCTGGATGCATGGGGGTTGTGTGGACAGGGAGAGCAGCTCCCTGTCCAGTAACCCCCTCCCCCCATTCATGCACCTGGAACCCCTCCATCAAGGCCCCCCCCCACCAAACTCGAACCCCGCCAAGCCTGACCCCCTGCATGAGGAGCCACCCACACCCAAACCCTCACCCCATTGAACCCTCAACCAGCTGCATCCTGACCCTCCACCCCACCAAGCCCTACTCCCCCAGACACCCACACTGAGCCCTAACTACCTTCACCTGGACTCCCCTGCAGAGTCCCATTCACCCTGCACCCATAACCCGGCACCAAGCCCCTGTGCATCCAGATTCACCCCCACTGAGCTGCCCGCACCCAGATTGCGCCACACAGAATGCTGGTACTCTTGAGGGAATTCTGATTCAAAAAATAAAAATTTTTAAAATTCTGCAAAGTTCTGCATATTTTATTTGTCAAAATAACACAGAAACACAATAATAATATAATCACACCATTTTCAATTATTTTGGTAATTTATTTCAAAATATTAGTAAATAATTGAAAATGGTGTGATTATAATGTGTTATTTTGCAGAATTTTTAACTTTTTTGGTGCAGCGTTCCCTAAGGAGTATTCTAGTGTCTAAATGATGTATCATAGGTATAGTAAAAACTAAACTACAGCTACAATAAATTGTATTTAAACTCAAATTTGGGTTTGTTTGTGATTTACATTCTATAAATGTAAAGTTAAAGATAAATTTCCATTGTAGCAAATCCTAGAAGAAGAAGATTTCAAAGGCGAAGATTTCAATCTTTTTCAAGTAGCAGGCCAGAAGTGCTTAGAAGAAGGTTATGCAGCAGAAGTATTAGAAGTAATTCAAAATGAGAAAAATAAGGTAAGTTTAAATCTGCATCTGTGTGTATTTTAGTGGTATACATTAAACACAGAGGTAAATAGGTTAAATTTTGCATATTCCAGCTGTTTATACATTGCTTTATTCTTAGTATCTTTGTAAGCCTCTTATACCATATAGTGCCCACAAGGATGTACAATTTCAGGGCACTGTACCAGGTATACACTGACAGACATATACAGTTTGTATAGACCCAGATTCTTCTTTCTGTGAAGCTGTTTTGGCAATAGTTACTGGACCTGAAACAAACATAGCCAACCAGAAGAGGTCACCCCAGAGTAGGCGGATCCTTTCATGTCATACAGGCATGCTAGTGGCTCCTACATGTGACCGCTCCAGGCTGTCAGTGTAGGAAGCAGGGGCTTCCTTGTACTACAGTAATTCTTGACTCCTAGATCAGCCCCTTAGAGCTGTTGTTAGCTGAAGCATCTTAGAGCAGCCCTCAGGCTGCATTGCCTTATGTTGGGGAGCCAGGTTGCTGCACAACTGGTCCAGGATAGAAAGAGTGGAAGAAGTGGATTAAAGCCAACTTTGTATATTACCTCCTGAGCAGTGTACTATTTAGCTTTAAACAAGGATATGTGGCACAGTGTCCTTAACAAACTCTTTCATTAATGTTTTCCAGTGAGATAAACAGAAAAGAAAAGAGAGATTTTAAGGCAAAATTTAAAAAGGGAAAATGATAGTGACTCTCTATTGGGTAGAGAAAATTCCAGATGGATGGACTAAAATTGGCCAAGATTTTAAGAAGAAAGTGAGTAGACAGGAAGTAACAGAATGAAAGTTCAGAGAAGTATATGACCAGTTTGGGAAACCAGGAGAGCATACTTATATGGGATACAGAGATAGATAGGAAGTCAGAAAAGGTGATGAAGGATGGAATAATGTTGTCCCACTTCATGGAAAGATGGAAAGTAATCTGGTTGCAGCCTCTGTACCCCACTGAATTTTAGAGTAAAGATTTTAAGACCTGAAAAGAACAGTTTACCTCCTTCCTCAAATAGTGTGTTCTCTCTAATTTTTGCCTGGAATTTTGCTACTACCATCCAATGAAAGAGTGAGAACACTGCCTATCCCTATTTGCAAAGCACATTCACATACACACCTGGAAATGCATACGTTTATGTTGACAAAAGAGAAAACATTCAATGTATATTTTGGAGAATGCTCTTCAGAATATGTATCCATTCTGCCAAATAGGGAAGGAGGAAGGAGATGCCCAGAACATTGTAATGATAAACTTTGTATTCAGGTTAATTACTATGGTATGTTACAACCAGCGGTGATCACAGAATTATAGAAATGCAAGGTTGGAGGGGTCCTCGAGAGGTCATCTAGGTAAGCCTCCAGCATGGAGTTAGGACAAATATATCTTGACCATACCTGACAGGTATTTGCCTAACCTTGCCTTAAGAATCTTCAATTACAAGGATTCCACAACCTCCTCTGGAACTATCTTTCTTTATAGTTAGAACATTTTTCCTAGTATCGAATCTAAATCTCCTTTACTGCAGATTTATCTGACTACTTCTTATCCTATCTTATGTGGATATGGAGAACAATTGCTCTCTGTCCTCTGTATAATAGCCCTTAACTATTGTCAGGTCTCCCCTCAGTTTTTTTTTTCTCAAACCTAAACATGGTCAGTTTTTTTAACTTGTCCTCATAGATTAGGTTTTCTAAATTTTTGATAATTTATTTCTCTCTCCTCTGGACTCTCTCCACTTTGTCCACATTTTTCTTAAAGTGTGGTGCCCAGAACTGGACACAGTACACCAGCTAAGGCCTCACTAGTGCCAAGCATAGCAGGACAGTTACCTCTTGTTTCTTACATTCGACCCTCCTGTTAATACATCCCAGAATGTTGTTAGCCTTTTTTGCAACTGCATCATATTGTTGATTCATATTCAATTTGTGATCCACTATAACGCCCAGATTCTTTGCAGCAATACTACCACCCAGCCAGTTATTCCCCATTTGTAGTTGTACATCTGATTTTTTCATTCCTAAGTATAATACTATGCACTTGTCTTTACTGAATTTCATCTTGTTGATTTTAGACCAATTCTCCAATTTGTCAAGGTCATTTTGAATTCTAATCCTGTCCTCCAAAGTGCTTGCAACCCCTTCCATCTTGGTGTTGTCTGCAGATTGTATAAGCATGCTTTCCACTCCATTATCCAAATAATTAATGAAAACATTCAATAATACCAGGACAGACGCCTGCAGGATCCCTCTAGCTACGTCCTCCCAGTTTGACAATGAACCATTGCACAGTGAACGTTTTTGAGTATGGTTTTTCAAACAGTTATGCACCCATCTTATAATAATTTCATCTAGATCACATTTCCCTAGTTTGCTTAAGAGTAACACTAAGATTTAGTCGTGGGTATTTTTTAGTAAAAGTTATGGACAGGTCACGGGCAATAAAGAAAAATTCCTGGCCCCGTGACCTGTCCATGACTTCTACTATATACTCCTGACTAAATCTTTGGTGTTCTGGTGTGGTCTGGGGGCAGAACTGCTGCTCTGGAGGGGGGCCTCTGGGGCATCCGCTGGTGCTGGGGGCGGGGGGAGGAGGAGGCTCGGGGCGCTTGCTGGTGGGGGGGCTCTGGGACACTCGCTGGTGCTGGGGCGGGGGCCTCCAGGGACACCTGCTGGTGCTGGGGGGAGGGGGAAGGGGAAGGGGCTCCGGGATGCCCACCACAGCTGCTAGCAGGGGACGGCTCTGCCGCTGCTGGCGGAGGGCAGCCCAGGACTGCAGCCACTTC